CTCTGTGGGTTTACCTACTCTGCATAATTCCATCTATTTTTAAAGAGCTTTCCAGGAAGCTCCTCCCAGCTCTTCGGCTCACATCTCATTGGCCAGGAATGTGTCTGACTTTTGTCTGGGCACATTGCCGTCCTCAACACAATCAGCGTTCTGTCATTCTATACTCTAATTCTTACTGAGCTCCTGGGACCATACTTACTGATTCTCAGACCCATGAATTCTTTTTTACATTTTAACTTTTTCAAATAGAAATCATCTCATATTTATGCTATCTCGTTTTTAATGAAATATAGTATGTGTCAGCCACTGTTCTAGATTCCTGGGATAAATTAATAAATGAAACAGACACAGGCCCCTGCCCTCATGGAGCTGACATTCTATTGGTGGGGAGATAAGTACACATAGTGAATTGCTTAATGCCTCAGAAACCGATAAATGTTTAGAAGAAACAAAAGTAGAGCAAAGTAAGGTCCATATGGGGGGGATGAAACAGAGACCAGTTGCTGTATTAATGTATTAGTTATCTATTGCTGTGTAACAAATCACTCCAAAACTAAGCAGCTTAAAACAACAAATACTTATATCTCAGTTTCTGTGGATCAGGAATCTAAGAATGCCTTAGGCCATACTGGCTCAAGATCACTCACAAAGTTGCAAAGTAGATGTCAGCTGGTGCATGGTCATCTGAAAGCTTGACTAGGGCTGGAAAGTCTGCTTCTGGGATGGCTCACACATATGGCTATTGGCAAAAGGCCATAGTTCATATGGCTAAGGCAAGAGGTTTGTTTTCTTGCCATGTGGGCACCTCCATAGGGATCCTTGAGTGTCTTCGCTTCACCAGAGCAAATGATTCAAGAGAGAGAGCAAGGAGAAACTCATACTACCTTTTATGACCTAGTCTTGGGAATGACACGATCACTTCTGCTATATTCCATTGGTTCAAAGTGAGTCACTATGTCCAGCTCACATTTAAGGAGAGGAGAGTTTAAGAATGAGTATTAAAGAATTTGGGGATATTTTTTGAAAACCACTACAATGAAATAGGAGAGTCAGGATAAAAGAAAAGTCCTACTTAAGCAAAGACTTGAAGGAGGTGAGGGAATCAGCCAAGCAGATGTAGTGGTGCGGAGGAGAGTGTTTTGAGCAAGGGAAACAGTGAGAGCCTTTGGAGTAAAGCTTACGTGGCACGCTGGTAAAGAAGAAAGAGAGAAGGAACACCGGGAACAACTAATGGGACTATTTCACTCCTTTCCTCCATTACTAGCTGCATGACCTTGGGCAATTCACTTCCCTCTCAGAGTTCCAGTTTCTCTTCTCTATGAAAAAGGAATGATAGAAGTAACTACTCATAGGTTTTTGTTTTTAAAAAAAATACATTTTATTGATTTTTTACAGAGAGGAAGAGAGAGAGATAGAGAGCCAGAAACGTTGATGAGAGAGAAACATCGACCAGCTGCCTCTTGCACAACCCCCACCGGGGATGTGCCTGCAACCAAGGTACATGCCCTTGACTGGAATCGAACCCAGGACCCTTCAGTCCACAGACTGACGCTCTACCACTGAGCCAAACCGGTTTCGGCTCATAGGTTTTTTTTTTTTTAATGAGGATCAAATAAGATAATACATGTAAATCACCCAGCCCATGGCTGGTACATAGTAAATATTCAATAGGCATTAGTTAATATTATTCTTGTAACAATTGGATAGTAGCCTCATGTTTGCCATCTGGGCCTCAGACACACTGGTGCAAATCATCAGCTGGGAGCTCTTGAAGGACATGACCCTTCTAGTAGAAACTTCTTGCCTCCTCTGTAATCTAAAGAAAAAGCTGCAAAGAGACAAACTTTGCCTGCAGGTCAGAGCATGGACCTCAGGTTCAATCCTTCAGGTTTCAGAGCCAAGTCTACCAAGCTGCTAGGGTAGGAGAGGCTCAACCAGGGACCAGGGAGCCAGCTCAGAGAGCAAGGTCTTCCCAGGTACCTCTCCTGACTGCTCAGTCTCAGTCAATCCATGGATGAATATTTGTTGGGCCCTGTGTGGACTTCATATTGTATTGGTTACTGGAAATGGGCCTGTCAGCAAGAGTGAAACCCAAGAGATCCTGCCAACCAGGACCTGTGGGAGAGGCAGAAGCCACTTGGGGTAGATCCTTCTTTTTGTCCTCAAGAAAGGGGCCTGGACATAAGAGGGGCATTCTCAGGTGGTGGCACAAAACTGTCCTTAGGTTCTATCAGTGTCCACCTGGACCAAGCACTAGTGTAGACCTGTCAAGTCATGCCAGGTGGACTCAAGGGCTTCTCATGCTCCCTCCCCAACCCAATGGGCTCAGAAAGACTTGGGTCCAGGCGAAAGCAGCTCGGATCAGTGGGGAGCACTGTGCTCCTAGAACTATAAATGTTGCTTTTGACCCTGGCTCCACCACACACCTTGTGACCTCAGCCAAGTTCTTGAATTGTTCTCAGGTCCTTGGTTTGCTTCTTTGTCAAAAAAGATAATAACTTCTACTCTGCCTAATTCATTCATCAACAGATGTGTAAAATCCCTATGTGCTCAGCACTGTTGCAAAACACTCGTACAAGGCAGTCAAGGTCTCTGCTCTCAGGGAGCTGAGCTGCTCGTGAGGAGACATTCTTTGAAATACAGTGGTGGGGGAAAAGCAGAGCAGGGCGAGGGTCAGAGGGCTGGTCAGGAGAGGTCGCTTGAGGGCTTGACTTTTAGATGGAGTTCTGAACAAAAGAATGGGTGAATCATGTGGATGTTTGGGAAAGAGCATTCCAAGCAAGGGAAGAGCAGGAACCCCGAGAAATGAATGTGCCTGGGCAGCTCAAGGCTGAGCAAGGGAACAGTTGGGGAAATGCTAGGAACAGGTGGGATCCAGCCTGAGCAATGCTGTCACAGCATAGCTCAGACCCTGTCATTCCTTTGCCAAAGTCCTTACAGGGCCCTATAAGGCCCCTCGTGATGCTCCTCACTACACAACACACACACACACACACACACACACACACACACACACACACACAACACACCCCTCCACCACTTCCAAGCTCCTCTTCTCCAGCCACACTCCCCCATGGCTGTTACACCTGCCTTGAGACGTTACTCTAACTTAGGGGTGTCGAACTCAATCAGAGAAGGGGCCAAAATCTAAAATCCAGCCTAAATCGCGGGCCGAATGGTTTACTGAACAGTCATAAACTGTCATTGTGATGGAAACGCAGCGGAGTGCAGTGATGACAGCGCGGTGCGGGCCACATTGCAAGGCCTGGCGGGACGGATTTGGCCCGCGGGCCTTGTGTTTGACACATGTGCTCTAACTCATGGCTCAGAATCACCTGCAGGGCTTATTAAAGTGCAAATAGCTGAGCCTCAGCCCAGCTACTGTTTCCAAAGCTGATGCAATCTGGGGTGGGGTCCCAGAATGTCCTTTTCTAACAAGGCCCTTGGTACTACAATTTGGCAAGCACAGTCCAGTGTTCCCTATGCTAGGACCACTCTGGCCCAAACACCATGTGACTAATACCTCCTCCTTCCCCTTCAAGTCTTGCTCAAACCAAACGGTCTCAGTGAGGCCTACTCTGACCATCCTGTGCAATACTGCAACCCTCCTTCCCCCAGTATCCCCCCCCTCCCCCGGTCTCTTCCCTACTTACTTCTCCTTTTTTCCACAGTACCTGCCACTTTCAAACATGTGGATAATTATTTTACTTAGTTAGATCCCTGCTAACTACATGTCCCCAAGTACCTAAGAGGGTTTCTTAATCCAGACTCCATGAATCCCTGGCTGTCTCGTGGATCCCACAGAGAGCTGCTAACCAGCCACATTTCTATGGAATAGTTTGTGACCATGATGTCTGTAGCTTTCATTGGATTCTCAAAGAATTACTTGATCCTGAAACCTTAAAAACCACTAACAGATCAATGCTTGGCATAGAGCAGTTGTTCAAAAAAACATTTGTTGACTAAATTAAAGAGCCTTTTTAACATTATTCACACACTGTTGTTTTGTTTTTGTTTTTGTTTTTGTTTTTAAACAAGGAAAACTGTATAGTGGTATAATGGCTTCCAATTGTTGGTGCCCTTGGACCAACTATATCAGAATAACAAGGTTACTTTTGAAAAGTATAAATTCTTATTATTCAAAATACCCTCAGAAAGTCTGAGCCAGGAGGGTGGGGTAGGGCCAGGGATTGGATACTTTTCTTTGCTTTTTCTTAAAAATATATTTAAAAAATTTTTTTAATATATATATTTTATTGATTTTTCACAGAGAGGAAGAGAGAGGGATAGAGAGTTAGAAACATCGATGAGAAACATCGATCAGGTGCCTCTTGCACACCCCCTCTGGGGATGTGCCCATAACCAAGGTACATGTCCTTGCCTGGAATTGAACCAGGGACCTTTCAGTCCACAGGCCAACACACTATCCACTGAGCCAAATCGGTCTCGGCTTAAAAATATATTTTATTGATTTTTTTACAGAGAGGAAGGGAGAGAGAGTTAGAAACATCGGATGAGAGAGAAACTCCAATCAGCTGCCTCCTACACACCTCCTACTGGGGATGTGCCCTTAACCGGAATTGAACCTGGGACCCTTCAGTCCGCAGGCCGATGCTCTATCCACTGAGCCAAACTGGTTAGGGCAGTGGTTCTCAGCCTTTCTAATGCTGCAATCCTTTAGAGTTCCTCTTATTGTGGTGACCCCCAACCATAAAATTATTTTCATTGCTACTTCATAATAGTAACTTTGCTACTGTTAATGAATCGTAATGTAAATATCTGCATTTTCCGATGGTCTTAGGTTCTACAGCAACCTGTGGATCTCGACCCAGAAACCGCTAGCAGGGTTGCCTAAGGCCATTGGAAAACACAGATATTTACAATTCATAACAGTAGCAAAATTACAGTTATGAAGTAGCAACGAAATAATTTTATGGTGGGTGGTCACCACAACATGAGGAACTGTATTAAAGGGTCGAGGCATTAGAAAGATTGAGAACCGAGTTCACGCCGGAGCGCAGCGAGGGAGCGTCTCGTTCGGACCCGGCCGCTCGGCGGGACTCTGAGGAAGACCTACCACCAGGTGGATGCCGTCTGTCACCATGGGTAAAGGAGACCCCAACAAGCCGCGGGGCAAGATGTCCTCGTACGCCTTCTTCGTGCAAACCTGCCGGGAAGAGCACAAGAAGAAACACCCGGACTCTTCCGTCAACTTCTCGGAATTCTCCAAGAAGTGCTCGGAGAGATGGAAGACCATGTCTGCCAAGGAAAAGTCAAAGTTCGAAGATCTGGCAAAGAGTGACAAAGCTCGCTACGACCGGGAGATGAAAAATTATGTTCCCCCCAAAGGTGACAAGAAAGGAAAGAAAAAAGATCCCAATGCTCCCAAAAGGCCTCCATCTGCCTTCTTCCTGTTTTGCTCTGAACATCGCCCAAAGATCAAAAGCGAACACCCTGGTCTATCCATTGGGGATACTGAAAAAAAACTGGGTGAAATGTGGTCTGAACAATCAGCCAAAGATAAGCAACCATATGAACAAAAAGCAGCTAAACTAAAGGAGAAATATGAAAAGGATATTGCTGCATACCGTGCCAAGGGCAAAAGTGAAGTGGGTAAGAAGGGCCCAGGCAGGCCAACTGGCTCAAAGAAGAAGAACGAACCAGAAGATGAGGAGGAGGAGGAAGAGGAAGATGATGATGATGACGAAGAGGATGAAGATGGGTAAAGGAGACCCCAACAAGCCGCGGGGCAAGATGTAATGATGAATAAAGGCTCTTCTGTAATGATGTGTGCGGAGTATGTGTGTGCTCTCAGGCAATTGTTTTGCTAAGAATGTGAATTCAAGTGCAGCTCAATATTAGCTTCAGTATAAAAACTGTACAGATTTTTGTATAGCTGATAAGATTCTTTGTAGAGAAAATACTTTTATAAAAAAATGCAGGTTGTAGCTTTTTGAGGGGCTACTACATACAGTTAGATTTTAAGGCTTCTGATGTTAAATGTTTCTAAATATTTAATGGTTTCTTTAATTTCTTGTGTATGGTAGCACAGCAAACTCATAGCAATTAGTATCAATAGTAAATTTTGGGTTTTCTAGACTGTTGCATTTTGTTTTTTAAAAAAATTTTGTAATAAAATTATGTATATTAAAAAAAAAAAAAAGAAAGAAAGATTGAGAACCACTGGGTTTGGGTGATTCCGTATTTTTCAAAGCCCCCTCCCCTCCACCCTCATACATCCCAGGTGTGTCTGAGGTGTGGTCAGGTTTAGGAATTTCTGAGTGAGGCCTTAACTGGAGAGAGAGACTCAGGACAATCTATTCTGGTGTGCCTCTCTTACACTTTGCAAAAAATGTGAACACACCTTTGGTCACCTGTGACCTTCTCACAAACTTTCAGAGTGACATGGCAGAAGCTACAATCTCCCTTTCCCAGCACAGAAAACTGAGGCCCTGGGAACCAACTGCATGATACCCTCCTCCCAACACACAAAGGTCATACTGTTTGCAGGTGGTGGAGATATGAACTAGGGCCTCTGGACTCTCACTTTAGGGCTCTCCCCTCTGCACCAACTGGATAAACCCAAGTTCCAGGAAGTCCAAGGCCACTACCAGGGCAGGGAAGCAACTCAGGGAGGGGTAGAGTGGCAAACGGGAGAGCAAGGTCCAGGGAGGCTGTCTCCTGGCCTCTGGGAGAGACTCCAGCTGCTCTAAGAACGCAGGCATTCACATGCTAACTCCGTTGCCTTATCTGCAAAATGGGGTTGATCATCCATACCCTGCCCCCAAACGAAAAGCTTGTAGAATGTAAAGCACCCCAAACATATCAGTTATTATTATATTATGTAGGGAAGGTGCAACATCCCCTACTCAGATCTCCAGGGACAGAACTACATACGGCCTTTCATTCATTTGAGATACTATGTTAGGCACTGTGCTGGGCACTGTACATACATGGCCTCATGTAACCCTCCAACAACCCATTGGGTTGGAGCCGCTGTTGTCCTCATTTTACAGGTGAAGAAACTCAAGTTCAGGAGAATGAATTGCAAGGCATTCCATCGTTTTGTTTACTCATGTAACTTTTACAAAAGCCTGCTCTGGGCCAGGCTCTGGGCCAAGTGCTGAGGTCACGAAGATGAACTAGTCCTTCCAGGAGACATGCCCATAAATTACTTTAATAACAACTCAGCACATGCTTCCACAGACAAGCGAGAGCCAGAGAAGGAAGGGGCAACTGGTTCCCTGGGGTGATGGGGAAGGGCAGCTGACCTTTCCCGGGACCCTGCACTTGCTAAGGAGCCAGCCGTGATGGCGATCCCAAGGCCTGGGTTCAAGTGTCGCTTCTGTCAAGGAAGCTGTGTATTCCCAAGGAAACCCCTTCTGCTACTAAACGTGGACTTCCACCTGAAAAATTAGGGGATTTGGTTTGTGATTCTGCAGCTGGAAGCCCACACCTCTGATCAGTTCAGCTTCGGCCCAGCTAGTACCGAGCTGAGCCTGGGACATTCAGACCAAGACCCTTGCAAGGTGCTGACCACCCAGCACAGTGCAGCGCTTCTGGCCTGCAGCGCGGCTGCGGGTCCAAAGGGCGGAGCTCGGACGGGGGCGGGGCTGAGACCTCCGGAGGCGGGGCGCGGCCTTCCAGGCGCGTCTCCTCCAGCCAATGAGCGCGCGGGAGCCGAGCAGCCCCGCCTCTGGATATAAGCGGCGGAGGAGGCGCGCGGCGCAGAGGTCTCCGAACCTGAGCCGGTTCTCGGTGCGTCTTCCTCGCCGCCGCCAGTAGCGGCCACGGGCGCCCAGGAGCTCGGAGTTGGTGTGTCCTGGCAGAGGCAGAAGCAGCGGGCCGGTTCTGCGTCCTTTTGTCCGGCTGGGCTGCGGGGAGGGCAAAGGACCCGGAATCCTTGTTGCAGTAGAACAGCTGGCCGGGTCGGGGAGCCGCCTGCGCCGACCGTCCGCCCGTCGTCCCCGCAGCCAGCCCGCCAGCCCGCCGTCATGACCGACCACCTGATGCTCGCCGAAGGTTACCGCCTGGCGCAGCGCCCGCCGCCCGCGGCGCCCGCCCACGGCCCCCAGGCGCTCCGGACGCTGCAGCCCTACGCGGGCCCGGGCTTGGACAGCGGGTTGCGGCCGCGGGGGTCTCCGCTGGGCCCGCCGCCGCCACCCCAACCCGGGGCCCTGGCGTACGGGGCCTTCGGGCCGCCGCCTGCCTTTCAGCCCTTCGCGGCGGGGCCGCCGCCGACCACGGGCAGCAGCGCGCACCTGCAGCCCTTGGCGACCGCGTACCCCGGCCGCGCGCCCGCGCCCTCCGGCGCTCCGGGATGTCCCCCGGGCCTGCAGCCCGCGCCCGGGTCCCCGGCCCCGCCGCCGCCGCCCGTGCACGCCCTGGGCGGCATGGACGCCGAACTCATCGACGAGGAGGCGCTGACGTCGCTGGAGCTCGAACTCGGACTGCACCGCGTGCGCGAGCTGCCCGAGCTCTTCCTGGGCCAGAGCGAGTTCGACTGCTTCTCGGACTTGGGGTCCGGGCCCCCCGCCGGCTCTGTGAGCTGCTGAGCCCGGCCCCCCGCCGCTTCCTTGGTGTGCGGGAGAGGAGAACGGGGTCTGCCCGCCAGACTGCTCAGCCAGCCGGTGTCTGGGCGCGCACGCACCCTCCGTGAGGGTGGAGGCCTCGGGCTGGTGCGCGGGGTTAACGCAGCCTGGACACCTGGCATCGCCCCGGGCCCTGCCTCCCGCCGGAGGAGAGTTTGGCATCCCTTCTCTGACTTGGAACCCCATCGGTAAAAAGGGCACTGGACCCCCGTTCGGACTCCACGGTCTTGGATTCTGTGTCCTCTCCTCTCGACTCTCCCACCCTCCTGCACCCCCAATCTGAGCCATGCCAGGTCTCCGCCTGGTCCCCCCTCTCTCCTTTGGGTCCCTGGGTCCCTGGAGCTGCGCATTGACTGGGGCCTCTGCTCCCGCTGCCTGGGCCCTTGAGGTCGCTGGGCCTCCCGCCTTGGGGAGGGGAAGATTGTACATACAGCCCCTGCAGAGTGGGCCAGTGTCCCATCTGGCCTCCAAAAAAAAAAAAAAAAAAAAAAAAAAAAAAAAACCCACACAAAATAAAACTGGGTCACTTTACAGTCTTGCATTTTCATTTCCTTATCAGTCCGACCCTTGACTATATTTGGCTTCCAGAGTCCTGAGGCTGTTAGGGGGTTGGGGTGGGATGGAGACCACAACCCCTGGCAGTGCCCAGGAGAGGAAATTGACAGTTTCTTTCAAAATATCTGAGTTGTGCAACTGTTATGTCATCATCTGGAAGGCAGACGCTGCCACCGCCAGAGGGCAGGGTAAGACAAGGGCACCATTGGATTCCCCAGCTCCTGGGAGGGGCAGCTTGGTGGTGCTGCCCCCACCTGTTGCTGGAAGAAGACCACACAGAAGGTTAGAGGGGAGGTGGCTGGGACGTGAGGATTCGGAAAACGCTGGCTTTGAGCCCTGGTGCTCTCCTCTGTCCATACATCCAGATTTCTGAGGCTGTGTCCTCAGGGAGAGATGGTCCCAGTCTTGGGTGGTTATGAGGATCCAGTGCAATGTGAGACCTTCAGCGCAGTGTCTGACACCTAGGCAGACCTCAGTGAATGATAGCGATGGTTATTCTTAAGATGACCAGACGTCCCGCTTTTGGCGGGACAGTCCCGATTCTTAACAATTTGTCCCGCGTCCCACGGCGTTTTTAAAAAGTCCCGATTTTTTAAAACGCCGTGAGACGCGGGACAAATTGTTAAACATCGAGATGTCTGGTCACCTTATTATTCTTCAAGTTGGTGCTACCTTTATTCCAGTCCCTGGGCCAACTGTTACGTGCCCTCATGGGGTCATAGTTCAGGTAGGACTAGGGCAGTGGTCGGCAAACTCATTAATTAACAGAGCGGCAAACCGCGGTTCGAGTTCGTGAGCCGCATGTGGCTCGCGAGCCGCAGTTTGCCGACCACTGGACTAGGGGATGAAAGGTCTAGACATCAACTCATGTTGGTGCAAGACTGTGATAAGGACTGGAAAACAGGACATTCCAGCAGGTAAATCCAAAGGAGGGAATGGTCTCGGCTGGTCGGAGATGGGGTCAGTGCAAGCTTTAGGGAGGTGGTGACATTTGCTGTGGTGATGAGGTGATGAGTACACCTTGAAGAGTTGGAGGAGGTGACCTGCCAGGGAAGAGCTCATTCGTCTAGAAGCGAAAAGGCCTAATGGCTTTGCAGCTACATTGTGATGTAGGGACATGCAGCTTGCTCAGGCCTGGCAGGATTTGGCCTCAATCCTGACCACCGTGGTGAGCTCCTGACCACCCTCTGCTGTTGACTCTGGAAAGATCCTTAGGTGTTTCCAAGATGTAGGAGAAAGGCTAGAAGAGAGACTGAGGCAGGCAGGAGGCTGGCCGGCGCCAGCTCTGGAGCCAGCAGTTCAGGTATGGGTGACAAGAGTGTTTGGCAAATGAATAAAGGTCTCCCCTGAGATAATGGGGCTTTCTGGGGGCAGGATGGGGTGGAAGGGTTGAGAGATCTCTGAAAAGGGACTGGCCTGAGCTCTGGGCTCACAAAGGCCAGTGTTTGCCCTGGCTTTGCCCAGGACCCCAGACCAGAGACAGAAGCTGGAGGGCTGGATTGCGGTGGGGGGTGGGATAGAGCCCTGGACTAGATACTGTTTTGGTTCTCTTCTCTCTGGGCCTCAGGTTCTCCACCAGTAA